TACAGTTGTCTGGCTAATTGGAGAAGTACTTAAATCTTAATTCGGCATGTCGTGTGCCTGTTGCGGTGTCACAGCATGTGGCTGTGAAGAGTAAGAAGATTAGAAGTAAAGAAGAATGTGCAAAGGCAAACACACTCGTGGAATAACTCTGCACGAGCTGGTTAAAATTATTATCAAACCTTGAATTCAGATGCAAAGAGAAGCTAATGGAATGTAGGCAAAGTTCGATAGAGCAAAAGGACAATGATAAAGAAAGTGATTTCACAGCAAGTCCCAGAACCAGTGGAAGTAGAAAAAGAGAATACACAAAGAGACACAGTGACACACAGAGAGACAGACCCACACAGAGACAGACCCACACAGAGACAGACACACACAGAGACAGACACACACAGAGACAGACACACACAGAGACAGACACACACAGAGACAGAATCACACAGAGACAGACCCACACAGAGACAGACACACACAGAGACAGACACACACAGAGACAGACACACACAGAGACAGACCCACACAGAGACAGAATCACACAGAGACAGAATCACACAGAGACAGACCCACAGAGACAGACACACACAGAGACAGACCCACACAGAGACAGACCCACACAGAGACAGACCCACACAGAGACAGACCCACACAGAGACAGACCCACACAGAGACAGACCCACACAGAGACAGAATCACACAGAGACAGACACACACAGAGACAGACCCACACAGAGACAGACCCACACAGAGACAGACCCACACAGAGACAGACACACACAGAGACAGACCCACACAGAGACAGACCCACACAGAGACAGACCCACACAGAGACAGACACACACAGAGACAGACCCACACAGAGACAGACCCACACAGAGACAGACCCACACAGAGACAGACCCACACAGAGACAGACCCACACAGAGACAGACACACACAGAGACAGACCCACAGAGACAGACCACACAGAGACAGACCCACACAGAGACAGACCCACACAGAGACAGACACACACAGAGACAGACCCACACAGAGACAGACCCACACAGAGACAGACCCACACAGAGACAGAATCACACAGAGACAGACACACACAGAGACAGACCCACACAGAGACAGACACACACAGAGACAGACCCACACAGAGACAGACCCACACAGAGACAGACCCACACAGAGACAGACCCACACAGAGACAGAATCACACAGAGACAGACTTTGATTTGTTTGTGCATGACATATCTAAATGTAAAAAGTGAATTATGTATTTAAGGCCTAGCTGTTGTAAAGTGCAACACTCTGATGAGCAGCGCCACCAGAGCCTCTTCCTTCACAAACCATGTGGAATGAGAACTTACTGCACATGAGTTGTGACTGATGCGCAAGCACCAGCAGCATGTTCACAGCCCGTGGTAAATAAAGAGTGACGTTGCGGCAGATCGGAAAAAAAAAAACTGCGTCATGTTACTAAATTGACAACAGTGTTTTACATTACACGGTGGCTGAGTGGATAGCACTCTCGTCCTGGGTTTCAATCCCGGTCGGAAAAGGGCCGTTCTGAGTAGAATTTGTTTTTATTATACAACTTTCTACTAGTCTGTTTATCTTTCTTACAACAATATTGCAGAAATAAAGCGTCTAGAGCAGACTTGGAGATTCTAATCCAGGGCTAAACATGGGGAGGCAGTGTTTCAGATTTATGCAGCTAAAATCATGAAAAAGTCTTGTAAATGTGAGACAGCCTTCTTCTCTGACAATCTTCAAATCCAGGTTAAAAATAGTTCCGTTTAGCTGTGCATACATTATTGAGGGATTGTATCTTGTACTGTGATATTTCATGATTTTAATGCCTTGTGAGACTGCTTCTGTATTGTTTTGGTCAGCACTTTGAGTTGCCTTGTATATGAACTGTGCTATACAGATAAACTGGCCTTTTCCATGCCATTTTGACAATTGAAAATAAAACCACAATTTGTGTAAGTTCAGTCCAGAGGAATATTCAAAGTCATGTTCAACAGCTCATTCACAAACAAGTATTTTATTCTATTCGTCATCTCTGCTCTCAATACGTTGCCCACCACATCCATTGTACCCAGTCAGTCTTTTTAAAAACCTTTCACATACAACTTTCTGCAATATTGATTTCCTGAAGGAAGGTGTTACAGTCAATAAAGCAGTCCGTGAAGTGAACTTCATCTTTAACATTCAACTTTTCCACTTACAAAGAAAAAATATACATCTGCTTTGGTCATTGATCTAGAACAGACATGTCAAACTCAGGCCCAGGGACCAAATCCGGCCCACAAGACCATTTTCATGGGTCCCTGAAATTATTTTAAATTGTTATATTAAGTTGCAGCATTGGTGGAAACAAGTTATATTGTTAATTATGTTTTTTTAAATTCCATCACATCTCTTTCTAATATTTAGTTTTGGTTCAAACTACAGTAACTGAACTAATTTTGTTCAGAAAAATGTATCAGAAAATAATATCCAAAGTCCTTAGTTCAACCAAATAGACAATAAACTTAAACTTCATAATATTCATAATAAAAGATTACCACTCATATATTTTTGGCCCCCAAACAGCCCTTACATGTTTTATTCGGCACTCAACCAAAATGAGTTTTACACCCCTTATCTAGAATATAACAGTCAAATTCACACCAGAAATTACACTTTCAATTCAATTCAATTTGTGTATATGTATGGCCCCAAATCATAACAGCAGTTGACTCAGAGGAAAAAGTTGTGATTCACCAACAACAGAATCACAGGAAATGCATTGCAATAACAAACACAAACACATTGGTTCATAGGGAGCAGGATGTTCATAAAAGGTTCTTAAATGTCTTTATACTTACAGCCCCCATTATCCTTCTACTTGTAACTGAATGCTATCAGTGATCCATGCAAAACAACCAACACGTACAGCATTTAAAAGAACGAGATTTTCAGCAAAACTACTGAGGCTGCACAGATTTTAACGTCACCGTTTTTAGGCTCGGGTTTCCAATTTTCAAACCACAAACCAAACCAGGTAATAAAATAACCATACAGTGGTTTGTTGCTATCAAATCAAATTTATTTATAAAGCACAGTTCATACAGTGTAACCCAAAGTGCTTCACAAGCAATCAAAACAGTTTGGTTTTATCAAGTTTTCATGTGCGTGTACTTTTTAGTCTCTTTCACGTATTTAGGTCAGATTTTTTCCATCTAGAAAGGTCAAAAAGAGAGGGACGTCCTCACTCAGCCAAGCAACATCAGTCACTTTGTACAAAGACGCAAAAGATCAAATTATTTCTGATAAGGTCAAGTCAGTATGGTGTGGTCCGAGGTTCATTTGACAAGTCTCTCTCTCTGTTGGATCAAATAAAAGGCATTATTTATGAAACTAAAAAGGGTTAGGTACCCCAGATGGACTATAATTCAAATAAACACTACTCGGGTCATAAACGTGGCACAGAATAAGGTGTGTTTAAGTGCAACTTTTCAGCTTCCTTTTTCAACTTTTTCCAGGAACTCACATGCTCTTATTAATGAGATTAAAGCGTGATGTCACTTTAGTTCTAATATTCTTTCAGTTTTATCAGGTCAACCCAATGTGACCATGCCCTAGGCCCAGACCGAGGTGACATTACAGAGCAACAGGAGGGTGTGGAGCAGAGTCATTTTCCTAAACACAACTTTTCACCACAACCACTGGGACGAGACACAACAAAACAAGACCAGTGCTTGCCTTTGTCTGTACTTTATTCTTTGTACATTTCAACCAAATCTTGATTTAAACTTTGAATGTGGTTTTATGTGTGAGACTGGCCTCATGCTGGGACTCTGAGGAGCACAGGGACTGGCCTCCTGCTGGTGCCCGGATTCAAGACCATAGACTGTATATAAGTCAAGACTAAACATGGGGAGGCAGTATTTCAGATTGATGCAGCTAAAATCTGGAACAGTCTTCTCGAAAATATGAGCCAGGCTTTATCTCTGACAATGTTCAAATCCAAGTTAAAAACAGTTCCGTTTCGCTGCAACAACTGAATAATTGTAACCTCACTCTTTTTAATGTACTGTGATCATTTATGATTGTAATGCCTTGTATGATTTGTTCTACCCTGTTTTGTTCTGTACTTTGAGTTGCCCTGTGTATGAACTATGCTAAACCAACAAACTTTGCCTTGCCTTAATCCAGGTCTACTTTGGCCTTGCACCAAAATATATTAGTGACATGTTAGTCCCATATGAACCAGCCCGGACTCTGAGGAGCACAGGGACTGGACTCCTGTTAGTGCCCAGAGTCAGGACTAAACATGGGGAGGCTGCTTTTCAGATTCATGCTAAAATCTGGAACAGTCTTCCTGAAGATGTGAGACAGGCCTCCTCTCTGACAATGTTTAAGATGAGGTTGAAAACAGTTCCGTTTAGCTGTGCATACAACTGAGGGATTTTATATTTTTTTTATTTTATCTTTCTTTTTAATGTACTGTGATTATTTATGATTTTAATGCTATCTTTTTTGTTCAGCACTTTGAATTGCCTTGTGTATGAACTCTCCTAACCAATAAACGTTGCCTTGCCTTAATCCAAGTCTACTTTTTAATGTATTTTAGTGTGCCAATGCATTCACACCTGGTCCACACCTGGTCAAGCGAAACTAAACGCAAGAATGTGAAAATGTTGGCTCAAAAACAGGGTCAAATGAATGTGTCGCTCTCTGGTTTAACTTGTTTTATGGAAGTATTGAAGTCATGGTCGTAGCTTCAGATTAGTCACCGCTTGGGCCTGCGTGAGTCTGCGTGAGTCCGAGTGCGTGCGCCAGGGAAACTTCACTGACTTTCAACCGAATTATCCCCTTTAACTTTCAAAATAAACTTAATTTTAATAACTTCAAAACATGATGTGGTCGTGTGAGATCATGTACGCCCACATTCACTTGGGTTCGGCTTTCGTCGTTAGCTGTAAGCGTGAAATACAGTAGAGCGAAACTTCTCAATCACTCACCCAGAGACGAGCTCGCTTCGCTGGGAAAACTTGAGAGAGAGTCCCCGGAGTTAGAGCGCCATGGACCCGGGTGTTTACCGCTCCAAATACACTAAAACACTTGGTCAATTTTGGAGTTTTCTTGTTTCTTTTTTTGTCGTGGGGCAAAGGAATCTCCTCGTTGGGTGTTATTATCATGGGCGGGGAGCAGCGAAGGGAGTTCCTGTCCCTCTAACAGGGAAACACGACAGGAAGCGGCGGCGCTGCAGTACCGCGGTAGGCCGCAAGGGCCCGGGAGCAGTGGGAGAGAGGTGAGGCAGGAATGTGACCCGAGAGACAGAGCAGAGTGGGGTAATGACGGCTGCAGAGAAGTGCCATTAGGGGGCAATGGTGGTCTCAAACAGTGAATAGACATTATTATACAGTCACTTTACTTATCTGTGCAATAATAATTTGCATGATGTCAGAATGTGCAATATGGAATCACATGTGTCCATTGTTAATGTAATTTGTCCCACACCCTCATGTTGCTAATGTATACATAGGTACAATGCTACATGTACATATGTATATATACAACTACAGAAATCTTGCACTAATAATGCTATGTTAGAGATAATGTTAGAGATTTTATTTTGTTTTTTATAGTATAGAAGTATACTATAGAAGTTCCTAATGTTCTGTATTTTGTGATGCACTGACATAACCCAAATGTGGGACAAATGACCGACCTCTTAATATTAAATAGACTATAAACTATGCATGTAAAAAAAAAAATCTACAAAAGTCAAAAGTTAATTTAGCACTCTCGCCTCTCAGCAAGAAGGTTCTAAGTTCCCGGTCGGAACAGGGGCTTTCTGAGTGGAGTTTGCATGTTCTTCCCGTGTCTGCGTAGGTTTCCTCCTTCCTACCACTAATAACATGTACAATAGATCTGGCATGCGCCTCCTGTACTGGCTCCCATCTCTGAGTGGAGTGAGAGGACAAATGCCCAAAAATAACAATTGTAAATTATAAAGATTACTCACTTACATACTGATGTAATCAGCTTACAATGTGAGCTAGATCTACAATCATTCTGTCTGTGGGAGCGGCCTCACTGAGATTTCTCACCTTATTCCCAGTTTTTCTGAGTTGTTGCATTTGTTAACATTTATAGACATTGATCCTGCTTACTATAGACCAATGTCTCCTTTGTGTTATTATTCATTGTATGATTCTGATTATCTATTTTCATTGCATTTCCTACATTGGCTCCAAGTACATTTAATCATAACTTGGATGGACATTATGACTGGGACTAAAACCAAATCATTCTTAAAATGCACAAATAAACAAATCATAACTAACTGTAGTTCAATTGCAACAAATAAAACTATTATTTTGTTCTTCCAAACACATATTTACTCTACCACTGATATCTCCGAATCCAATGCACAGGATTCTATTATATTAAAAAAGTGTGAAACAAACACAAATCATTGATCATCATTTATTGTAATAATACATTATTTACAGTATTTACAAACAAAGCCATGAGCCTCTGTACAACATCAGCAAACGAGGGAAATAAAGCCTCCAATCTGTGCTCGTGAAAACTATGGAAAATATATACATCTGCTTTACATTTACAAGAAGAGGCTTTAGTCTTTTACTCGAGCTGCTTCATTCCTTCACTTAACAGACGATAGAGGGCTGACTTGGTACCATTGGGAAAAACTCGGTTCCAGGACTCGGTTCCAGGACTCGGTTCCAGGACTCGGTTCCAGGACTCGGTTCCAGGACTCGGTTCCAGGACTCGGTTCCAGGACTCGGTTCCAGGACTCGGTTCCAGGACTCGGTTCCAGGACTCGGTTCCAGGACTCGGTTCCAGGACTCGGTTCCAGGACTCGGTTCCAGGACTCGGTTCCAGGACTCGGTTCCAGGACTTTCTCACCGCCTCAGTGTGGGGAGCGAATGAAGAATGAACAGTGCTTTAAATGTCATGGAAGGTGCTTTTAAAAATGCCACTGTTACTTAATGACAGGGAATTATTTCAGCCAAGAAAGCTGCATCATTTGACCCAATAACAAGGTCTGAACCGTCCACCTTTAAATAAATTACCAAGCATCCGTTTCCAAAAGACTTTAAACAAATATAATGCATTATTTGTTCATGTCCATCCTTAAATGTTGAGAATATTTCATTTTTCTACTAGTTGGGAAATGACATTTGCTATTTTTGAACATGGCACATGCCGGTGAAGCCATCATGCTTAAACAACATTGAGAAATTCCCAAAAGACAGAAAACTTTGTCATTGTGTAACTGTACATTTAGACAGTAAAGACATTGTAGACTGATATGCCAATGTTTTTATATAGCACTCTTCTGGACACTCATGGCACTCTTCTGGACACTCAAGGTTGTTTTCTTGAGAACATTAGCTTTAAAATGCTAATATGTTATCATGGCTACTATGGCATAAAGATCTGGTACGGCAACCCCGCTCCCATCACTGTGTGGGGTAAGAGGAAAAATGCCCACAACAAAGCGCTTTCTGATTCTGGTCTGAAAAAGTTATTGTATAAATAAACATCACTTATTTACTCACTATATAGCCTATTTCACATGCCATAGTAGCCACATTAACATAATACCATCAATGCTGCAAGTGAATACGTTCAGGGGCCACTTTAACCTTGTGCTCTCTTTGAGTCAAAATGACTTGCCACAGATGATTGAACATAAAACCCTAAATTAGGGTCTAAAGGAGTGACCCAGGGCTGGTTAAGTTAGGAAAAATCATCAAAAAATATTTAGTGACTGTGGTGCATCCAGCTAAAGGAGTCTTTCTTTACAGACAGAGATACAAAACCAACAATGAGTGTTTCACAAGCAGCCGATGACTTCACGTTACATCACGGATAATCACAGCTGCGGCGGGAGAAACAGGGCTCAGACTGTTCTGGATCAGCACTGCTCGAACCCAGCCATCAGAGAGAGGGCCAGCGACTCCACTGTTCAAGAGGGGAAAGCAATCAGCCAGAGGTCGACCAGACACACACACTCAAGATTACAACAATGGGAGAGTCATAACCACAGCGGCTCAAAGAAAAACACGGGGAACACTTCAGAAATACTATCAAAAATAAATGAACAAAAGGTGAGAGATGCTTGACCCTGCTGTGGCTATCTTGTGTTTGAATCCATCTCATCCTGCATTAATAAGAGAATAACCAGAGAGAGATCAGAGAGAGACAAGAGGGAGACCAGATAGAGAGACCAGAGAGAGACCAGAGAGAGAGACCAGATAGAGAGACCAGATAGAGAGACCAGAGAGAGAGACCAGATAGAGAGACCAGAGAGAGACCAGAGAGAGAGACCAGATAGAGAGATCAGAGAGAGACCAGAGCGATAGATCAGAGAGAGATCATAGAGTGACCAGAGAGAGACCAGAGATAGATCAGAGAGAGATCATAGAGTGACCAGAGAGAGACCAGAGAGAGAGACCAGAGAGATAGATCAGAGAGAGATCAGAGAGAGACCAGAGAGAGACCAGAGAGAGAGACCAGAGAGATAGATCAGAGAGAGACCAGAGAGAGACAAGAGAGAGAAACCAGAGAGATAGATCAGAGAGAGATCAGAGAGAGACCAGAGAGATAGATCAGAGAGAGATCATAGAATGACCAGAGAGAGACCAGTGCGAGATCAGAGGGAGACCAGAGAGAGAAACCGGAGGGAGAGAGCAGAGAAAGATCTGAGAAAGACCAGAGACAGAGACCAGAGACAGACTCTGAACTAATCACGCACAAAAACCTGGGGCCTCAAAAGGTGAACCATGTGAAAGCGTGAGACCAGTGTATGGTATATAGTATAGTACATAGCAGTATATAGTGTATAGCAGTGTCTCCCAAAGTGGGGTCCGCGGCCCCCTGGTGGGCCGCGAGGGTACTGCAGGGGGGCCGCGGGAGGTCATAAAAAAAAGTAAAAAAATATATAATTATTTAATGTTAAATTTATAATGTTTTGTTTGTAATATTAAAATATTTGTGTTCATTATTTGACTTGAATAATCCACTGTAATCATTTTTGTATTACAATGTTTGTAGCAGAGGCTATTTCCCCAAAATATAATAACCAGAAGAGCCTATTCTTAATGTTGTCTTCTTGGTTATTATTTTGGGGGGCCACGCAGACCCGTCAGATTTTTAAGGGGGCCTCGGTGTTACTGAGTTTGGGAATGGCTGGTGTATAGTATAGAGCAGTGTATAGTGTATAGAAGAGATTCACTCACGATGAGGGAAAGAGCCACGACACACTGCTTTGTTCAAGATCGTCACCAGGAACATGTGGCAGTTTTTAAAGTCTGACTCCATCTTGTCTATGGACTCAATCCTGTCATTAAAAAGACAGAAATACATTTTCGAGGATAATAAAAATAAAGAATAACTGAGGTTTTTCCCGACTAAAACCTGAGGCCTTACTTCCAGGCCCCAAAGCCGGCTTGCCATCGGTCGGAGAAGATGAGGACCAGATTGAGCACTTTCATTATTGCCTCTTTCACAAAACTGACCTGGAAGGAAAACAAATAAACAAGTTGTTGGGTATAGTTTTCACTGGAAAAATGCCAATTCTCAGGTCTCTGCTTCCTGTGGCTCAGAGAATAGACACTGTGCAATACAAACAATCTTGTCTGAATATTCTTTGCTTTACCTTCTCTCTGAGGAGGCAGCGGTCATGAATTGTTGCCAAGTATTTATAGTGGATCTTAATGAGCTGATCCAGATCTTTAGCTTCTTGAACTTGATGTTGAAACTCGAGCCCAGTGCTGTGGAGAATCTGAGAAGGTAAAAAATGACAGTTATAAGTTGTGTTTGTGATCAGTAAGTCTGTTGCACAAGTACTTTATCAACTTATAAGCGTTCCCATATTAGAAAAAAATGGGAAAGGCTTACGGTTTTCCAAGTTTGACAAACTAGTTTTTTGAAAATCTAGATATATTCCTTCCTCTTCAAGCAAATCCTTTCAAATTTACTGCCAATAGCAAAATATGTTGAAGATTGTAACTAGAGGAATAAAACTGACACATTTTCTAAACGCAGATTTCAGATTTAATCAAATTTACTCCATTATAATTGTGTGGAAACTTTATGTGTGAGGAGTTCCTTTACTAATATCTACTATCTTACACTCGTACTATCTTTGCAAAGGAGATTGATTAAATACAATTGATATGGCTTATAAAATTATAAAAAATGCGTATATTTTTGCAAGTCCATCCTTCATTCATTTAAAATACAATATTCGTCCATATGTGAAATCCGATATCTCCATTTTGACCATTTCTGGAACAGATGTTTTCCTCTAGCTACAATTGTCAACATGTTTTGTTATTGGCATGAATTTGAAAGGATTTTCTTAATAAGCCTGCCATAAACACTTTACATGTATGGCACTAAAATTGATCTGCAAATCAACATTATGATTCTTATGGCTCACTTGTTGCAAAGGAACTTTTCAAATTCATTTCTCCCAGGATCATGTTATAGCCCACAGTTAACACAATACTATATCATCTATATTTTCTGCCCTTACCCTGGTCATGATGTAGTTATGAAGGCTGTTGACAAAGTGCATGAGTTTGACCCGGAGCAGACACATGCGGTGGATCTGGTGGTTCACTGGTTCTTTGGCTTTTATCGTCTCCTCAGACACTGCACCCTCTGCTTTACTGGCAACTTCTGTAAAATCTGAGAGAGAAAACATTACAATACGTTAGGACCATTTCACATTCAGTCCATAGATATAAGTGAGACATTTTTTACGAATTACCACTGAATCTCAGCGTGTCTAAACTATATTTTGCCCATTTGATTTGCAGCAGCAGCAGAAACACTTGGTTGTAGATTTTCTGACACTCGGAGCTGATCACGATGTCAACAGGCCATGGCACCTGCACAGATAAGGTCACAAGGTCACGTTCGGGGAGGAAATCTAGCTACAAGACTACTAGCTCTTTAAAAAGGTAAATAAAAGGTAAATAAAAAATCTATATTTAATGTAATTTAACAATATACTATAGGATAAACCTGTATTTGTCCCAGTATAAGATATACCGGTATAAGAATGAGTTCTTATACCGGTTTAGATATCGTTTCTTATTTCTAGTTGGCACTCTGTAGCGGTGGCCTGATGATCATATTGAGAGTAGAGGACATGGGAAGGGTCTGTGGTGATTTTCCTTGCCCGTCTAATAACAGTCTCCTCAAAAATCTGCTGCAAAGATGGATGCTCCCTAACTCCCATGAAAGTTCTGCTTTTGTTTTAACAATCAAATTCCCAAACCCCACACACATACCATATCTTATTACATTCTCAATTACAGCATGATAAAATAGCGTCATTATTTTCTGTTCGACTCCAAAAAATAGTGTAGTAATAATACAGAGAGACCAGATATGCCAATTCAGTGTCTTTCTTCTGGCAGAAGATAACATTCACTGAGATGCACACCAAAATATGTACTAATGTAGTAATAAAATAGCAGGTAAAGTGACTGGCGACTAGGTATACTGTATTATATATGCGTTTCTTACTTTGTAGCTTAGTGTGAGGACTTCTAGATTATTCACTGGGTGCTTCTTCCTTGCAGGATCAATGGGCTCCAAAAACACTGACAACCTGAATGAGTACAAAAACTGAAGAGTGAAACAGTCAAAGTAGAAAGCAGTGACGATAGCTTTGGTAAGCAGTTATACTAGATTTTAAAAGCTCTATATGTCTAAGGCTTTGTTTAAGTCAGGCATGTCAAAGTCAAATACATCAGAGGGCCAAAAAAAAATGTTTGCTACGCGCCGAGGGCCGGACTGGTTCAATGTTTCTCAACATCCAGAGGCAGTGCCGGTGACACCTGTTGGCTCGATAAAATATGCTCCAAAGCCAATACTCATACTGTACATATTAGATGTAATAGACATCTGAGAACATGAAAATAGTAAAAAAAATAAAAAGCTCAAACTTGGTGAAATGTAAAAGAGCAGTCTGGACCTCTTTTCGGGGCGTTTTTTGATTAAATCTGAAGAATGGATTATACTTTGGGAAATACAAGTGGATATTCTTTCTCAATGAACAGTTACGGAGAGAAAGCGACTAAGCAAGGATGGAGAAAGTCTAATTTGTTGGAGCAGCAGAAGACGAAAGGTAAAAAACAAATACAGACTGATTTATTTTGTGCCCATATTATGCGTTATATCTTTTTAATGCAAAGTCTGATATCGTTTAAACTTACATATAAATATAGCTGAGAAAATAAGCTTTAAAATGATATATAGCTTGTGGCTTATGAAGTTCAAAATACATCTGCTATTGCCAACAGATGGCGGGCCTTGACTTTGACACATGTGGTTTAAGTTTTGTTGAATACAATATTGGTTGTAGGTCTCAGTGCTGCTGCAGCTGTCAAAAGCCATGCATACACTGTAAAATACAGCTCAAGAGGACACTGAGAGGCAGGAACAAGGAGACCAGAGAGAGACCAGAGATAGAAACCAGAGATAGAGACCAAAGAGAGATACCAGAGAGAGATACCAGAGAAAGATACCAGAGAAAGATACCAGAGAGAGACACCAGAGAGAGACACCAGAGAGAGACCAGAGAAACCAGAGAGAAACCAGAGACAGATGATATTCTCACAATTGTTTCTTGTGCTTTTTTATCTTGTTTTATTTATGTACTTCTCTGCTGCACACTGGAGACTTTTGCACATGGATTCCAATGTGGTTTTACAGCAAATGACAAATAAACTTAATCTGAATCAAAAAGAAGATAAGGTAAGTAAGCAGTAAGCAGTACTAGCTTCTTTGCCCTGCTGCCTTTTAAAATCCCATTCTAAGCCCCAAGTTATATGGAGTCTGGGTGCAGTACCTGCCGCTGTCCTCAGGGTAGCGCTGTCCCACTGCTTCCTGCAGCTGCACATTGAGAAAGGAGGGCTGCTGCCAGCTCTCCTTCTCCTGCACTTTGTCAAAAATGGCTGTGTAGAAGTCGTACATTGTGTCCCCCGCCTCCAGCAGGAAGTAGTTCCTCATGGCCTGGAGGTTCTCTAACAGTCTGTGGGCATCAGCAGGCAGGAATGTGAGCTCATGCTTGGAAGAATACAGAGGTGTTTTTGAGACAAATGGAGCGATGAAAGACAAACAGACCTGTAGTCTTTCTTCAGGGTCTTCATGAGGTTCCCACAGCACTCGATGTACCGCCTCTGGATGTGTGGGTAAAGACAGGAGCGCAGGGTCAGTTCAAACGTCTGACAGGTGACGGACTGAGACGATCGATCCACGTTAAAATCTCCTCCTGAGAATCGCTCATGGAAGTCACTCTGCTCCAGGTACAGTCTACACAAGAGGCAAACGAGACACAGAGAGGGTGATTTAATAATAACACAAATTGACAGCCAAAAAATGGTCAGGGGTTTCTCACTGATTTAGACTAATTTTGGTGTTCTGAGTCCGAATATCACATGCATTTTGCTCCATCAGGTCAACTTTTTGAGATACAGCCATAGTGTTACGGATTATGTACGTCTACGTTATTATGAATTCTGCTTATCAAATTTGAATAAGTAAATAAAAACTGAATGACTTTGGATACATTGATTTTTATTTCTTGAGGAAAACGGAAAAAACGTCAAGGGTTTCTCAGCTGATGATCCGCAGAAATTAGTTTTTTACGCAAAATCGATTTTAAAAAATATTTCTGTAGCAAAAAATCCTGACCTGATTGAGCAAAACCAAGGTCATTTTCGGACTCAGAGCATCAAAATTAGTCTAATTCAGCTGAAAAACCCTGGACTATTTTCAAAAAATATTTTTTGTTACCCAGTGTAATAATAATGCATCGGTTTTATATATAGCTTTTTTGGACTCTCAAAGACGCTTTACATGTCCTTCTTCATTCACTCCATACACGGTGCTGATAAACCACTACAGTAGCCACAGCTGCCCTGGGGCACACTGACAGAAGCGAGGCAACCAGTCTGTGCCATCAGCCCCTCCCACCACCACCACCCCCAGCCATTCACACACGGCAGACTCATTCTAACATGTCTAGCCAAAGGACATAACAACAGTTTGACACTTTACAGCAACAGACACCCCACTGTGGCACCTGGTGTTCCTAGAGGTCTCCCATCACAGTACTAACCAGGTCTTGACATGCTTAGCTTCAAAGGTCGGATGGGATTTGGCTTTTGCATGCATGTATGACCACAATGTGTCTACACCCGAACGAGGAGACAGACTAAAAAGGAAGGCAAACAAAAAACCAAACCAACAAAAACAAACCCTCATATGCTATTTTTAATGCCCCTCAAACCCACAAATACTCACACACTCAGATAGACACACACAGAGACACAGACACACACACACAATCAATGTTCCCTTTTGTTTAATATACTGTCTAGTCTTATGTCTTTTTTTTTTAACGGTTTAATAAAATGCATTATAAAGTAAAAAAAAAAAAAAAAAAGGAGCAAACAATAGAATTGTTCTTAATTGAATAGCTGTTATTAGTGATCCTCATATTTAGGTAAATCCTAAAATCTGAACGCTTTAATACTTCAAATCTGCGTAAGAGTTTGAACCTGGCAAAGTTGATGGCGAGCAGAGGGTCGTGGACGTCGTCGATCTCCAGATGTTGTGCGACGATCGATTGCATTTTGACCAGACTCCTGTTGGCCGCCTGCTGCTCTGTGACTGTGTCTGTGGGACTGTGCTCCTGGCTGCAGAGGCGAGACTGCACTGACTCCAGGAACAGGGAGTATAGACTCTTCCTCTCTGCATCTGCAACGGAAACATGGAGGCTTTCATTCTGAGTCTATGGGGGTCACATAAATCTGTATTCAGCCGTTCTGTTCAAACTGGAAAAAATAGGTAAGTAGATAAGATAAAGTTTACAGACTAACCCTAACCCATTTTATGAATAGAAATGCAATGGTTTTTTTCCACTAATTGTTGGTGGTTGTGTGAAGCTTATTGATGTCAAATAAATACGTTTTTCTGTATTCTCGCTGGTCTCTTTCTTTCTCTGGTCTCTTTCTCTCTCTGGTTTCTCTCTTTTTGTTTATTTGGCAATATTTGGCTTCACACAATCACTAAAAGATGAGAGATTAAATAATATGATGTTGTGTTATCATTCTAAATCTCCAAAATATGTTGAAAACTGTGAAGCCTCTAGCTGGGAGTTAGTTGTGTATGAACATAAACCTATGGCTGACCTCTAGAGGCCCTCTCCGCCTGCTCCGAGTCTTTCCCGTCGAGATTTTTCAGCAGCTGCATAGACTTCCCGGCCATGATGATCTGCTTCAGCACTGGTTTGAGGAAGGAGACCATGGTGAGGTGCCTGCTGCCCTGGCCTGGTTCCCCTCCGGAGCTGCCACTGCCCAAGTCGTTTTGCTTTTCCTCGTTCTCCACGGTCTCAGAGACGCTGTACAGAGTGTATGTGGCGTACCAGAAGTCCCTGTGGTTCACTGGCACGTCCTTGTTCCTAAAGAAATTTACATGTTTCAATTCAATTCAATGAATTCTAGTATAGCCCTAAATCACAACAGTAGTTATCTCAAGAGGACTTAAACAGTTCAAACACAAAACATATAGAACACATTTGTATTGGTCCATAGGGGGCGTTGACCAATGTCCATGAATGTTGTAAAATGTTGGGTGTCCTGGATCATCACCACAGTTCTTTTTGTTAGACCCACAAAGCTCCTGCATCGGGAAGGAAAACTCTAAAACCCAGTGGGAGAAAAGTGAGAGAAACCAGAGAGACCATAGAGAGACCAGAGAGAGACCAGAGAGACCAGAGGGGGGCCAAGAGAGAGACCAGAGAGAAACCAGAGAGACCAGAGAGAGACCAGAGAGAGACCAGAGAGAAACCAGAGAGAGAATACACAGAGAGAGACCAGAGAGAGACCAGAGATGTAGTTGGCTGAGATGCAGGACATCTGGATATGCTAACAGCTTCTTTCCACAAACTGTTATCCGTCTGATCTTGCACTTTGCATTGAAAATGTTTTTTGTTGATTGGTTTCACAGTGAAAATTGTTTCTTGAACTTTTTAGCTTGTTTTATTTTATATATATATATATATATATATATATATATTGTCTGGTGCACACTGAGAACATTTTACACATGTATTCCAATGTGGTTTTTCTGCAAATGGTAAATAAACCGAATCTGAATCCAATACTGACAATATATTTTAGTTTAGTTATTTTGTTGTGATTTGAAGACAAAGACATCTCTCCTTTATTTCACCTCTGAATGATGAACTCTTTTGCTGGATCAAAAAGGTGTCCATGCACTATCCACTCATCCACAATCTCCAAATATGGCCGAACAGTCTCCGTCCACAGAGAAAAGAGCAGAGCGACCTAAAGCAGAAAAAAAACCAGATTCATGTAAGTAAGTAATGTTTATTTATATAGCGTATTTTTTACAGACCAAGGTCACCCAAAGCGCTTTACAATGTTCAGAGTTCAGATATATTGTTCCAATCATTCCACACACGGTGATGACAGAAGCGAGTCGCCGAACACACTGGCGCATCAGCCCCCAATCAACACCATCCATTCACTCTCTCATTTACATTCATACCTATTGTGCATGTTTTTAGTGGTAGGGGAAACCGGAGCACCCGGTGGAAACCTACGCAGACACGGAGAGAACATGCAAACTCCACTCAGAAAGGCCCTGTTCCGACTCGAACCCAGGACCATCTAGCTGTGCTCTAGCTGTGCTCTAGCTGTGCTCTAGCTGTGCTCTAGCTGTGCTCTATCTGTGCTCTATCTGTGCTCTATCTGTGCTCTATCTGTGCTCTATCTATCTATCTATCTATCTCTCTCTCTCGTCACTATGCTAAAACAAACAAACTCACAGCTTGCTCAGATGCCTCCCCCACGCTGTCGTACTCCAGGATGGCCTTGTAGAGGGTGTTGAGCAGGTGGGAGGCCCGGACCACATTGGGGGTGTGGGGGGGCACCTCAGCGACGCCTGTGCAGAAAACTTTGTGCAACATTTGTATCTGGACCAAGTGAGAGCTGAGGCGTTCCAGCACACCAGAGAGGGTAATGGTTACATCTGGAAAAGAGGGAAAAAACAAATTAATTAGAACGTACAGTGTTTTTTGTAAAGTATGCGAAATATACAATGTTGTGCATGGTCTAATCAGGCCCGAGCCCCAACTGGGGTAAAGGCCTATTGCTTTCTCAACGAGTAGTGCCTGGGCAAAGCCACTGTTTGCACATACAAAGTCCGATTTGCACAAAATTTGAATTGTTGTTCAAGTTTTGGGTTTGTGTAAAACATGATATTGCAGCATTAACACCCCCTACAGACTGAGTCAAGTTTTATGGGGAAGATATCAGACCCATGGCTTATTTTTTACTATTTGCCATGGCGATGACAAATACTCCCCATTATGTGTCAATGGGAAAATCAAAGGACAAACAATCACTGATCATAGGCATTACACAGCTCCCATCAGGACTGTAGGAAGATGGCGCGTCGGCGCCACCTCCTCGGCGCGGGCCGTTTGACGCCGCTTGAGGCTTTAATTTTTCTGCTCTCTCTCTGACGTCTCTTTCTATCTCTGGTGTCCCTTTCCTCCTCTCTCAGGCCAGAGGGTCAAAGCAGAAGAGTTATCCCCCGTAGGAAACGCTTCCCTTTGGTCATGGAACAACAACTCTTCCCTGCGCCCATCGACCACGGTCCACGGGCTTACATGAAACATACAAGGGAGAATAGAATGCAAAAGACGAAAATGCACGTCACAGCGGACGCAGCAGGAAGACGTAATGTAACGCCCTATATCACGTCCCCACCTCAGCTCACCCCCTCCACCACATCGACCCCCGTCATCTGGGCTTTATAAAACCGTGCCCTGGCCCACCACTTCAAACTGTGCTCAAGCCCAGTTGCTGCGGTCACACGGCACCTAAAGCCAGGATCTAAATGTGTTCTGGGCCTGGGCCCGCTTTAACTGGGCTTTAGGTTGTGCTTGTGACCGCATCCTAACTTTGTATGGCGACCTTGAGTGCCTAGAAAGGCACCTTATAAATTACACGTATTATTATTATTATTATCATTATTATAAAACTCACCATTGCAAACAATTTCTTTCTCTATCGTGGTCAACTCCTTCTTGAAGATGGTCAGGTACTTGTTGAGGGCCCAGACAAAGGCCTGGTAAGTCCTGAACGGGGGGTCAGAGCCCTTCTTGGAGGAGGTTCCTGGGGGTCCTGGATCAGTACTGTGGCCCGTCACTTCATCTATGAACCTCTGCAGCCGGAACACCGCCTGGCCATACACCGCAATGTGCTCCAGGATGGACCGCAAGCAATTCTGTAATTATAAAAACATTTTTATTTGAAGTGATAAAGGAAATTCATTGAAGACTAATATGAAGAAGTCAAAATCTAATAACGGCAACTCAAAGGGTTGAGTCCTGTTCTCACACTCACAGTCATCTACCAAAAAAGGTTAGTATTTTATCATTGCATTTCTTGTGTTTGAATTGTTTGATTCTCAGATCTGAGTTAGAGAATTTTACGGAATTCTGAAGTCCTCCAAGATAACTACTGTTTAGGGCTAAAACCAATAAATTCATAAATTATGCAGATCATTGTTTGATAGTATCGAGGATCTTTGAGCTAAACTTTTTCAACACATAACCACAAAATTGTAAATATAGTCCAACTTACGCCTGTCAGATGAGTTACGACCACATTACTGCGCACGGTCACTTTTCCGTCATGCATTTGAAAAATAAACTGCTTCTTGACTCCAGATAACAGCCTGCAATCACAAAACCGCATCTAATTGAATTTATGCACTCCACAAAGAGGCCACAGAAATCGGAGAGAGATGCAAGACTCATACAATGATCAAGGTAAAGTTAGGGCTGGGCGATTAATCGATTTTAATCATTAATTCGAGTTTTACGTTTAGAGCGATTTCTTTTTTTAAAAATTCGATTTTTATTTTCTCCAGCGCAGAACTACAGCGCTAACGCGCTAACCGCGGGTCTATGGTGTTGAGCAGTCATTTTGAAGCTAACCTAATGCTAACAGTCTCCCTCTGGCCTGATGCTCGCTCTCACAGTTGGTGCTGTTGCAATAACACTTCAAAAGTTCAAGAATCAGACTTTATTTAAATCGCCAGAACACACACACACACACACGCACGCAGGCTCCGGTCGCTATGTTCGTACGCCACATCTTTCACGCTCTCTCACGCTCGTTATTCCAAAGCGCACTCCCGTGTCCGTGGCGCGCACACATTCGTGTCCCACTGAGCCGCTGCACTTTGGGGAAAGACACGTCTCACACATTGCTCTCATTGCTCTGATACAAACAACGTGTTCCCCGCTGTCTGTTAGCTACAGTAGCTGCTACAGTAGCTGTTAGCTACAGTAGCTGCTACAGTAGCTGTTAGCTACAGCATCAGAATGTAAACAGGAAGCTTGCACAATGCGGGAGTCACTGAAGTTAGTATTAGCGCCACCAGCTGGACCGAGCGTTGTACTACAGCACAGTTACTCAGGTACAGTTGAAAGAACAAGCATGAAAACCCGAGGAGGCTTTTGGAAAAGACTGTCTGTTACAACATTTCTATTTTGAGTAATCAGTTTTAAAAATGTGATATTTCATGTAAATAATGCATGTGTTTAATAGGATTGATATATTTGCGATGAGCCTTGTTTGTGTGATTTAAGTTATTTTGAAGGTGCATAGTGTCATTGTAAGTGAAGTTATTATAAAACTGTTAAGCTACATTTTCACTGTTTACAATGGCAGAGCCATCTCGTTTACAAGCATGTTTTAAGGCTTAATTCCTGTTACACTTATGCTCCATGGGGATTTAGATTAAACTGCATAAAGGAAAATCTATTTCTTTGTCAGTTGTAGTTTGTTTTTAAATAGAAAAAAATAAATCGATTAAAATCGAAAATCGGATTTGGTGTGAAAAAATCGGAGATTTTTTTTTTTTGCCATATCGCCCAGCCCTAGGTAAAGTACACAAGGACGAGTCATTGTTGGTTTTTTATAACAAAGTCATTGAAAATCAGGCAGAACACGTCATACCATAAGGTTTCCCGAATGACTTGAGTCTCAGTGACAAAGGCCTTCTCTTCTGGGAGATACAGAGGGTCAGTGTTGTACAAGTGCTGGTCCCTGCGACACAGAGGATCATTCATTATTCATTATTATGTTATGTTATGTACAAATGACAGCAGATTTCTTGCACATAAAAGAATTATTGTAGTTTCTTTGTCTCTAGTCTCTCTCCCTCTCGCTGGTCTCCCTCTCTCTGGTCTCCCTCTCTCTGGTCTCCCTCTCTCTGGTCTCCCTCTCTCTGGTCTCCCTCTCTCTGGTCTCCCTCTCTCTGGTCTCCCTCTCTCTGGTCTCCCTCTCTCTGGTCTCCCTCTCTCTGGTCTCCCTCTCCCTGATCTCCCTCTCCCTGATCTCCCTCTCCCTGATCTCCCTCTCCCTGATGTCCCTTTCTCTGGTCCCCCTCTCTCTCGCTCTCTTGGTCTCTCTCGTTCTCTCTCTGGTCTCTCTCCCCCTCTCTGGTCTTTCTCTCTCTGGTCTCCCTCGGTCTTGCTCTCTCTTGGTCTCTCTTGTCTCTCTCGGTCTCTCTTGCTCTCTCTGGTCTCTCTCTGGTCTCTCTCTCTCTACAAAAACTGTCTCAAAGGTCGTCAATGATCTTTGTTGAAACGAGATAAAGACTTATTACTTGAGGCTAAAATGAATTTTTTTCCCCATATGGACCAGACATAGATTGACCATTTATTTAATCACAATCAATGCAGCAATCTACAAACTGTTAATGAAGTGTGCTATATAAACAAATCAAAGTCTCTGACCAGAAGTTGAGTAGGTTTGAGTGCAGGTGCAGACTGTGGGGGAAGCGGGAAGCATGAGGCACCCAGTACGGCGTCACCACGTGCTGCTCAAGCCAGGCCCGAGCATCTGGTTCTCCCTCTGTGAGAAAAACAAGTCAAAATCGTTGTAAAAAACTATAGAACTCAATATATGCAGGTACATCTTTAAAAGAGGATATTGTGTGATTAATATGTGCTCCAGAAATGCTTGAAATATGTCATTCTGTGCAAAAGAGTTGTCTGGTCACACTTTTGTTTTGCCCTCACTAATAAAAAGATAATGAAGTGCTAATTAGTGTATAATGTATGGTTGATAAGTATTTATTAAAGGGATTGTCTGGAGTTGTCAGAAAAAAGAGAGAGAGGTACATGATTTGAAAAAAAAAAACAACCCAAGCTCCCTTTCCTTTCTGATTGGTCTACGCCTACGTTTCCACAACAATCAATCAACACATTTAAATGTTAATCTGAGAACACATTATACATATACATTATTAATACACATGCAAGGAAGTTTTCAGAATGATCTGTTAACGTTTTCATGACAAAAATAATATTTTAATGCACGAAAAAAGCGATCGCGGTAAACCCGGAAGTAGCTATTAACATTAATTGAACATTTTAGGACACATCTGCAGAGGATCTGATTATGGATATAGGTTCAGTATATAAATGGGGGACTCAGCGCAGATGTTCAGAATTCTTTGTTCAGTTTTCATGTAGTTCCAGAGCTTAATGGAGGCTTGATTCGGAGGCTCCGTGAAAACAAACAACTGCGCATGAGCAGCTGCGAGCATGAGCAGCTACGAGCATCAGCGCCGATGATTGACAGCCCTTGGCATCACTTGATTGGTTAACGTGGACGGCATCGTGGATTTTGAGTTATAACTAAGATGTAATATTAGAATTCTTAAAATGACTTACCTTATATCAACATTTAGGCCAGGAGGTCAATCTAATACAATTCTTAAAATGTGTAATTCATTTAGAGTTCCAGACTATCACTTTAAGCAAATGTTTTATTCATCATGCATGTAGGTTACATGTTAAAATTACTTTTATGTGCGTCTTTTTCATCCTACTTTACCTGTCCATTTAACTGCTACTGGCTTGTTATTTGCATTATCTTGATCTTCTTGGGGTGTCCGGTCCAACTGTATCCCAGAATCCTCTCTGCTGATTGGCTCTTCACCGTCCTCGTCCTCACTTTCCTCCTCGGACCATTCCTAGAAAAAATTATACTATATTAACCAGACATGGTAAGGTAAATTTACTAAACAAAACAAGATACAGACCATCATACAAGGCATTACATTCATAAATAATCACAGTACATTAAAAAGAATGAAGATATAACTCTGCGGTTGTATGCACAGCTTCACAGAACTGTTTTTAACCTGGATTTACGAGACTAAACTAAATAAGTAAAAATATGTTTATGATTTACTCACTGGGGTGTCAGGATAAGGTCCAATGTCTACGTCTTCACCCTCCATCAGATATTTGCCCCAGTCAAAGCTGTCCTTTTGTTCTGTTTTATTTCCATAACACGATAATTATTAACTTGCTGCATGTAAGCAGCTTATATTTCAACAAATTGTGAGTAAAACATTAGCTCACCTGCTTCTTTGATCTGAGGTCTCTCAGTGAAGTTGGTGTTTGACGGAGACCCAGACAGGAGGAGCAGCAGAGACAGAACGCTGAAATGGGCATCAGTCTGAAAACCAAAGTCACGGTTTCTCAATTAATGTCTGCAGTATTATTTTAATACGCTATGGTCTTATTTTAAAATATGTTTATGATTTAGTCCCTGAGGTTTCTCACTTTTTCCCACTGAGTTTTTCCTTGCTGATGATGAAGGTCTAAAGACAGTGGTGATGATCCAGGACACCCGACATTTAACATCATTTATGGACTTTATTAACATTCATGGACATTGGTAAACCGCCCCTTATGGACAAATGACTCCATGTGTTTTTATAATTGCATTTCCTGTGTTTGAAACGTCCAATTCTCTGATCGGTGTACGATGGCTTTGTGGGCTATACAAAAAAACATTGAGTTTAATTATATCAAACTCACCTTGGTTTCATCTGTGTTGGGTAAAGGAGAATTTAGGAACTCCTCAGTCAACTTCATCCAACTTTGGGCTTTACTCATATCAGAGTGAATCTTAAGCTTTTCGTGGATGCTACAAATAAAAAATAAAGAAAAGGCATGTAAGCCTGAATACATGGGAACTACAAATATAAATATGTGCTGTAGTATTTATTTTGAATTATTCATCGTACACTACAATGAAAAGATTATTTTATATATATAATTCAAAAAGGAGTAGGTAGAAGAAAAAATTACTGCCTACAACTTGTTAAATTGTCTTTATGTTGTTTCTTTTACAGTATCACAACGTATTCAATTCAATTTAAAGTAAACATAAACATCAGATAATTAATCATATTATCAATTAAAACTGACACTCGTTTCCATCACTAGTCATATGTTAGGCACATGTGTCGTCATTACCATTTCTTCTTCAATGTTTTGTTATGTATTTTATTTTATGAATGTACGCCCTATGGTGCAGTGCATAAAAACAGTGAAAAAGCAGAATGAGCCAGTTGATAAATATTACAGTTAGCTAAGTCAGTATTTAGTGTGTGAATAATAAACAGACAAATTATTAATACACAAACGCAGTGGCTTACCCATTAATACTACGCTGTACTTTATGGCTATCCACGTCCAGAAAACGATGGAATCTGTCAAAACATTGTTGTTGTTGTTGTTAGCATCACATAGCTTCAATGCTAACTTGCGTGCTAGCACTAGGCTCGAACTAAACTTACTTGAAATTGGACCAAGCGAATTTAAGTGCAAGTTGAAAATTCTGATCGTCCTCATCTTCTATTCCAGTCATATGTGAAATTAGCTTCTTGCTTTCCTTCTCCGTCTCCCTCTCAAACGTGGTCCAGTGTGTCATGATGCTGCTGTTACTCGGATGGACAAGTTACCGCTGCAAGATCAGGATTTGACGGTGTCACTGCATCTGTCATAACTTAGTGTACAAGGCGACAGGGATGTGAGGACTTGTATTCAACAACAGATAATGAAAGCTTTCCGTTCATACGCTCGATAGGTTCATGATTTTGCATTGCCGCGCTATGCTCTTACTGCTACATACATGGCAACATCAGTGCGCATGCGCATCAGAACAAAGACTGTTTAGTGGGGGAGATCACAAAGTACAAACCAGAGAACCTTTACTTGTCCAGTTACAGAACAGTAGGAATGAGGAGATAGAGAAGTATATTCTGTATAGATATAATTGGTGTGATGGTGTATTATGTCAAAATTAGATGAATTCCTTGATAATGACAAATGCATTGGTTTTGTATAGTAGAGCAAAAGTGAGAATGACGCGCACATCCAATTCTGAGCAGCGTGCTAGAGTTGAAAGTCGATGGATGAAAGAAATGGAGAAGACTCTGCACAGCTTTAGCTCCCAAGTGATTTTAATTATCACCACAAACTGTTGTGACGTTTCGGGTCACTACCCTTCATCAGACAATCTACTACCCTTCAATGTCTGATGAAGGGTACAGTTTGTGGTGATAATAAAAATCACTTGGGAGCTAAAGCTGTGCAGAGTCTTCTCCATTTCTTTCATCCATTGGTTTTATATATTGCCTTTTGGACACGCTTCACATGGGACTATTCATTCACTCTATGCGTAGTAGTTGCTACTGTAGCCTCAGCTGCCCTGGGGCACACTGACAGATGCGAGACAACCAATATGTGCCATCTGCCCCTCAGACTACCACCAACCATTCACACACACCAGACTCATTATATTTTGGATGAAGTGTCTTGCCTAACGACACAACAACAGTTTGGCAATTTACAGCCGCCCCACTGTAGCATCGTAGCATCACAGTATAATGACCTGACCTGACCTGATTAGTTTCAGAGGTCTGGCAGGAACTGGCGTTTAACATGCAGGTGGCGTCAATAACATTAAACAAATATTATTAGATCGTTATGAAACCGATGACAGGAATAAATCCAGTCCTCACTTCGTTCTGACCAAGGCTATCTCTCCATTAAAAAATACTCTCTCTAAAAAAAAGTTATTTATTATTATTATTATAATGACAACAAAACAATGAATAATAAATTGATGGATTTCAGTTCCTCTACAAGATCATGCTAAAGTTAGAGTTTTTATTATTATTATTTTAGTATAGAGTTATTGTTCATTTATCTGGCGCTGTGTGCGCCTCCTCCCTACTGTTCTGTAACTGGTGATGCAACACTGACATTTCCCCACTGCGGGACGAATAGAGGATCTTATTATCTTAATAAGATTGAGGTGGGATTATCTTAATAATTTGGTATCAGCTAAAACTCAAAAAGGACCATCCAATTTGAAATATTTGGTTATTCGATAGTGTGTCTAAAATACATCATAACAATAATAATAAAACCATTGGCCCTTTACGTTTATCGTGAAGGCACGTGTGACGCCAGGGACCATCAGAACTGGGGCGTGGTCTGTTATCGTCCCCCCTCCGAACGCATTGCACGCTCAGCCTCCATGCCTCCACCTACAGCGGTACAACTTTGGAGAGCCTCGTGTCGCACACAGCGCCCCGTAGCCTCTCCGGAGAGACGCGCAGCCACAGCCACGGCCCCTCACGGCGAGAGGAGATGAAGAGGAGGGTGCATAAGAAATACTTGATACTGATTCTCGCCTACTCTGGTCTCCTGCTGCTGGTGCCCTACGTCCTCGACTACAAATCTGTGGATCACGGCAGACACCCACTGCCGCAGCAACAGTCGAGATGCCCAGATTTGGCCAACACGGTGGCGATGATGTGGGATAACACCGGGGTTAACGGGAGCGACGCGTCCGCCACTGAGTCCGCGGGGAACCGGAGCCAGTCTCGCATCCACATCTACCTCCACGCCACATGGAGAACCGGCTCGTCTTTTCTGGGGGAGCTTTTTAACCAGCACCCCGATGTTTTCTACCTGTACGAGCCAATGTGGCACATCTGGCAGGCTCTGTATCCAGGGGACGCGGGGAGCCTCCAGGGCGCAGTGAGAGACATGTTGAACGCGCTGTACCGCTGCGACTTCTCCGTGCTCAAACTTTACGCGGGGACCCAAAACATAAGCACGTCGTTTATATTCGGCTGGAAGATGAACAAAGTGATCTGTTCCGACCCGCTCTGTGACGCACATAAGCGACACGAGGTGGGATTGGTGAGGCAAGACCTGTGCGCAAAGTGCCAAAAGAGGGACATTCGCGAGCTGGAGAAGGAGTGCAAGAAGTACCCGGTGATGGTGATCAAGGGGGTGCGCGTCCTGGACCTCAGCACCCTGGTCCCGCTGGTGAAGGACCCCGTGGTGAACCTCCAGATTGTGCAGCTCTTCAGAGACCCGCGCGCGGTCCACAATTCCCGGCTCAAGTCCAAGCAGGCCCTGGTGAAGGAGAGCATCCAGGTGGCCCTTTGTTCTGTTTTCAATCTAGCGTCAAGTGGTCACTCAATAAAGAAAAAGAGAGAGACCTGGCATTGACACAGGGAGAGTTGAAATGGCACAAATAACGTTAGGACTCCCAGAGCAGTCATTTTGACGGCTCCCATTAAAAAAATTAGGTTCCTGGGAGAGAGAAAAAAGTTACTGATTTTATTAAATATAAGTAATTAATACGGGTTTTTATCTTTAAATGCATGCTAAATCTGGTTAATTTAAATGAAATACAGCTGAACTAAATAATAATAGATGCAAGTAACCATAGGTTGCCATGGTAACTAGCTCTTGCTCCATGAGATTGCTCTGAGCGATTTCAGGATCGATTTACATAAACACAATTACATTGCTATAAACTAGGTAAAGAAACAGTAAAAAGTCACACAATTTGTATCTAATATTTTATTGACTCATTCAGCAGTTCTTACTTTAACAATTTACATAATGTTACATTTGTCTCTTGTATATTAGAAATTGTTTCCATTGCATAAAACAGAACAAACAAAAATCAAAAGAACAGTTGAGAAGCTAATAAAGAGAATAAGTCGCACCACTTTGAAGATCCAAAACGTACGGAAGCAGTGATCACACTTTCAAAATGAAAGTGTTAAGGGAACATAGAGATAACATGTTACATCTTGTTGCGTTAGTGTTACTATATCCCCACGTGGAGAAGCATTTGCATAAGTGCTGAATGGTTGTGAAGATTGGTTCACTGAATGACAATAGAATGGAATGCTATAGAGATGGGATTTTACAGTTCTATACAACTCGCTCTTGGTTCGGACACTTGAGTGACCCTGTCCTTTACCGCAGCTGCCTTCACATTTAGGCTCGGAGTGCCCTCTAACTTTCTACTCAGTGAGTAGGCCTTGTCTTTGTTTCAGCAGTCAAAATTCTAAGAATTATTACTGTTAAATCTTCTTTCATTTGTGTCTTTTGTCCAAATGCTCCACGCTACAATCAAGTTTCATCTTCTTTTAAAATACCAGTAACCCTGTTTGGGAAGAAGCTTGTATTGCTTCTTTCTCAAACAGCGGAATGAGAAAGAAGCAATAAAAATGCCACTTAAGGAGTCAGTTAATTGGATTGTATCTCAATGAAAATAGCTTGTGTCTTCTTAATATCTCATTATTGCAAAAGATATTATACGCCTGATAATTAATGAGGCACAAAATATATCAGTCCATCCATTAGTTACATCCTTTAAGTAACTATAGTAATTATTTTTACACAACTGTCCAGAAATCCAAGGAATAATGTTTATTAATGATTATAGACCCATTATTCACTTTTGGAGTCAGTGTGCAAATAAACGATTCAATTTATGACAACAGCAGTCGTCTTGTAGGGCTTAACAACAAATCTGAACATAGGAAATGCAATAATAACAAACACATAGGAGCCATTGGTCCAGAGGGAGCGGGATAACAAAAGTCCAGAAATGTTAATAAATGTCCTCAAAAGTCCCAGATCATCACTGTCCTTCGACCCTTCTGCATCAGCAAAACTTATTTATGCACTAACTTATAAACACTATTTGTTGCTAGAACTCACAGAACAAAACACAACATGGAAGCAGCAACAACCGGTTCCTACAATCACTGCAGTTCCAACATGTATTGATTTGTTTTGGAAAGGATTATAAAGCAATATATATCATTATTGTGGTCCTCCCCCCTACGGTAAAGTCTTGATTTGTATTGGTTTCTTTTGATGGATGCATTCAATTTTAATTCAACTTAAAGATTATGATCTCTCAAAATACCCAGAATGCTTTTGTTTTTTTTTTTTTAAATACTTTATTGTACAGGAAAAACATTATGATTTGAATAGATACTACTCTGGTCCCTAGCGTGGGTTATGTTCTAAAAATAACCAGCAACAAGCAAAATCCTGAAGTGGGACTGCTGAAGTGGGAGAGACCAGAGATATCAAACCTGTTGCTTGTGGGACTGAGCACTGCTGTAGCTGTCAAAAGCTGTGCATACACCGTAAAATACAGCGGCAGAGGACAGGGGACAGGCAGGAGCAGAACTTAGGGCTATGGGAAGACCAGAGAGTGACCAGACAGAGAAACTATGTGACCAGAGAAAAACTAGAGCAGGATTAGAGAGAAATCAGAGAGAGCCGAGAGAGACCAGAGAAAAAGCAGAGAAAGAGACTATGAGACCGGAGAAAGACTAGTGAAGGTGATTAGAGAGAAACCGGAGAGAGACCAGAGAAAGACCAGAGAAAAACCAGAGAGAGTGATTAGAGAGAAACCAGATAGACAGACCGGGGAGAGACAAGAGGGAGACCAGCAAAGTGACAAGAGACCATGAGACAGACCAGAGAGAGAGAGTCCTCTGAACTAATCATCTCAGTTCACTTAAGCCGCAAATGTTCCTACATCTTTAACGTAGGAACACGGCACGGTGGCTGAGTGGATAGCACTCTCGCTTCTCAGCAAGAAGGTCCTGGGTTCAAATCCCGGTCGGAACAGGGCCTTTCTGAGTGGAGTTTGCATGTTCTCCCCGTGTCTGTGTAGGTTTCCTCTGGGTGCTCCGGTTTCCCCTACCACTAAAAACATGCACAATAGGTATGAATGTAAATGAGAGAGTTGATTAGGGGCTGATGCGCCAGTGTGTTCGGCGACGCGCTTCCGTCATCACCGTGTGTGGAATGATTGGAACAATATCTGAACTCTGAACATTGTAAAGCGCTTTGGGTGACCTTGGTCTGGAAAATGCGCTATATAAATAAACTAGGGCTGTCAAACGATTAATTTTTTTTAGTTTATTAATTGCATAGTAATGATGAGTTAACTCACAATTAATCGCATTTTTAACATTCTATTTCAAATCCACTCCAATTGAAGTTAAATAAGATTTTCAAATGTAATGACACATTGTTATTGATACCAAATGTACTTAAATCTGTTTGACTTGCTCACAACCTTCTACTTTTGGGTACAACCAACAAGAGCTGTTAATGAAAGGGAAAATGTAGGTACCCCAGCTTTAATTTTGCGAGTTTGGTTGCATTTCAACGTGTCTCCTCCTCTCCTACGTGTGTCACACAACATCAGAGAATGGCCCCTGTGCGTATATATATATATGCACGCACGTGTCCGTGGCATTCTGAGTGATGTTATTATAAATGGGCGGGTCATTCGGTCATGGGTTAACTCATTGACTGCTAGCCTATTTCAGAACAGGTACTCCCATATTGCCAGCCGTTTCTGATGATTTTTACTGAATTTTCAAGACCCACAGAATATTGTGTACTATGACTATCTGAAATCCAAAACCAGATTCTGAAAGAATGGATTGTCTACTTTCATCAGCAAAAATAATTTTGTTTCTAGCTTGTTTCGTTCCCCTGTAATCCCCAGTCGAGTAGAGGGAAGTTTTATTGAAATCACCAGAAAGCTGAGAAAAAAGAGGCACAAGTGCATCTAGCTGTTTTCAAACCATTCATAGAGCAATGCTGTCATCTGCTGGCTCGATAAAGTATTGCCTCAAGCCTTACATATTTGATACAATAAACATCTGGGAACGTGAAAATAGCGGGAAACGCAATTGACGTGTTAACACGTCAATGGCAGTTAATGCGTTAATTATTTTTTTAACGCGTTAATGAAAACGTTATTTTACGTGAATTAACGCGATGATTTTGACAGCCCTAAAATAAACATTACTTACTTAATGAACTATAACTATCACGTTATATAGCGTGGGACCACTGTATATGAGTTGAAGCAACTCAACTATTGTCAAACTTTCTCACTTCGCAGGTGCTCAGAAGCAAGAAGCAGAACGACAAATACAAGCGTCTCCTGGTCCCGAACAGAGTCAACCGAGCGGAGAGCTACGTTTCCAGCGCCATGGAGCTCATCTGCGACAACTGGCTCAACGACATGTTCTTGGTCAGCAACTCCCCCCAGTGGCTGAAGCGGAACTACATGAAGATCCGTTACGAGGACCTGGTCACACGGCCCATGGAGGAGCTGCAGAGACTGTACCGTTTCTCCAACCTGTCCACCAACGCCGCTCTGGATAAGTTTGCCTTGAACATGACGCACGGACAGGGTTATTCCTCGGACAGGCCCTTCTTAATTTCCTCCAGAGACGCGAAAGAGGCGATTTTTGCGTGGAGAGAGAGGCTGAACGTGGAGCAGATCAGTCAGGTCGAGGCCTTCTGCAGCGAGGTCATGAGGCACCTGGGATATCAGAAGCACAGCGAGGACAAGAAGACGTGAGGAGTGGCCTGGTATGGATATATTTTATTGATTTATTATCTGGTCTCGCTCTGGTCTCTCGCTCTGGTCTCTCTGTCTGGTCTCTCGCTCTGGTCTCTATCTCTGGTCTCTCTCTGGTCTCTCTCTGGTCTCTATCTCTGGTTTCTCTCTGGTCTCTCTCTGGTCTCTATCTCTGGTCTCTCTTGGCTCTCTCTCTCTGGTCTCTCTCTGGTTTCTCTCTGGTCCCTATCTCTGGTCTCTCTTGGCTCTCTTTTTGCTCTCTCTCTGGTCTTGTTCTCTGGTCTCTCTCTGGTCTCTCTCTGGTCTCTATCTCTGGTCTCTCTCTGGTCTCTCTCTCTGGTCTCTGGTCTCTATCTCTGGTCTCTCTCTGGTCTTTATCTCTGGTCTCTCACTGGTCTCTATCTCTGGTCTCTGGTCTCTATCTCTGGTCTCTCTCTGGTCTCTATTTCTGGTTTCTCTCTGGTCTCTATATCTTTGGTCTCTCTCTGGTCTCTCGCTCTGGTCTCTCTCTGGTCTCTTTCTCTGGCCTCTCTCTGGCCTCTTTCTGGTCTATCTCTGGTATCTTTCGCTGGTCTCTTTCTCTGGTCTTTCTCTGGTCTCTCTCTGGTCTCTATCTCTGGTCTCTCTCTGGTCTCTATCTCTGGTCTCTCTCTGGTCTCCATCTCTGGTCTCTCTCTGGTCTTTATCTCTGGTCTCTCTTGGCTCTCTCTCTCTGGTCTCTTTCTGCTTTCTCTGGTCTCTTTCTCTGGTCTCTCTCTGGTCTCTATCTCTGGTTTCTCTCTGGTCTCTCGCTCTGGTCTCCCTCCCTGGTCTCTCTCTGGTCTCTTCCTCTGGTCTCTTTCTGGTCTCTCTCTCTGGTCCCTCTCTCTGGTCTCTCTCTGGTCTCTATCTCTGGTCTCTCTTTGGTCTCTTTCTCTGGTCTCTTTCTCTGGTCTCTAGCTCTGACCTCTCTTTGGTGCACCTGTGTATAAGCCACACCAGCAAAATTTGAAAGGAAATTAAATTATTAAGAGATGAAGAGCTCCTTTATTTGTCTCACAGTGGGGAAATGTCAGTGTTGCATCACCAGCTACAGAACAGTAGGAATGAGGAGCACACGGCACAAGATAAATTAAGAATAGCTCTGTACTAAAATAAAATAAAACAAAATCTCAAACTTTAGCCTAATAAGGAAGCAAGAAAAAAATCTCTAGCATTAGAAAAATCTCTGACGTCAGCGTAATAAAGAAGTAAGAATGAAGTACAAAATCTCTGACTTTAGCATGATAAAGAAGTGTAAAATCTCTACCTTGTCCACAATGTTGGCCACATATAGGCCGCACTGGAACATAAGGTGCAGCCTTTCAATTAAATTCAATGTATTCTTGTATAGACCTAAATCAACACAGTATTTTGCTGAGTCACTGTGTCCCAGAGCCTCATACTGCTAATGTACAGATGTAAACATACTGCTGCTAATGTACAGGTGTAAACATACTGCTGCTAATGTACAGATGTAAACATACTGCTGCTAATGTACAGATGCAAACATACTGCTGCTAACGTACAGATGTAAACATACTGCTGCTAATGTACAGATGTAAACATACTGCTGCTAATGCACAGATGTAAACATACTGCAGCTAACATGTACAGATGCAAACATACTGCTGCTAACATGTACAGATGTAAACATACTGCTGCTAACATGTACAGATGTAAACATACTGCTGCTAATGTACAGATGTAAACATACTGCTGCTAATATACAGATGTAAACATACTGCTGCTAACATGTACAGATGTAAACATACTGCTAACATGTACAGATGTAAACATACTGCTGCTAATGTACAGATGTAAACATACTGCTGCTAATGTACAGATGTAAACATACTGCTGCTAACATGTACAGATGTAAACATACTGCTGCTAATGTACAGATGTAAACATACTGCTGCTAATATACAGATGTAAACATACTGCTGCTAACATGTACAGATGTAAACATACTGCTGCTAATGTACAGATGTAAACATACTGCTGCTAATATACAGATGTAAACATACTGCTGCTAACATGTACAGATGCTAACATAACTACACTTTGCTTGCACGAGAATACACAGTACTTTATACTTTCCTCTTATTTTTCCATTGTTATACTTCTTTATTATTATTAATATGTTCAGGATAGAGATTGTATACTTGTTCTTTGATGCAAGAGTTAGATCCATCCATCCATTTTCTTCCGCTTTATCCGTTGTCGGGTCGCGGGGGCAGCAGTCTAAGCAGAGACGCCCAGACTAGTTTAGCTATTGTTTTCAATTAATTTATTGTTGTTTGGTCATTCACAGTCATTCCAGTTTAAATCCATTTTAAAACAAAGACGATAACATAAGTTAGTCTGTGCATGACCAGGCACAGGCTGAAGCCAAAGCTTATTGTGCCTGCCCCTAATCGATCTTATCAAATTCAGCACATTAACAAACATCCATATTGTAAATAATAATCACACTAAACAAGATACAATACACAACGCGTTTCCGATTGTTTCACTGTCACATACTTTTCCATCATTATTTCCTTGAATTTTTAAAACAACTGAAACAGAGAAGTATCACTTTTTAGCAACTGTTCCATACTTTCACACCTTTACTGGATAAACAACGTTCCATTAAAGTCGTTCTTACAAGTGGTATATCAAACATACAAACTCCCCTCAAATTATATTGAGTTTGCCTTTCTGTAAACAAAACCTCTAAAGACTGAGGGATTTTTTTATGTTTAACTCCATACATGAACTTAGCCGTAAACAGATCAACCAAGTCATAGAACTTCAGTATTTGTGAATGAAGAAACTATGGATTACTAGGAGAGTCACATGGCGCACAATTGATCAGTCTAATGGCCTTTTTTGCAACAAGAAAATAGAATTAGTTCTAGTTCTATGCGTATTTCACCAAATCTCAATGCCATAAGTTACAGTATGTATGGGGTGATGAGAGAACAATAAAGTAAATGCAAAGCTTTTTTGTTCAAAATATATTTCAATTTGTATAAGATTGCTTTAGTTTTTGACACTTTCTTTTGAACATTTAGAATATGCGGCTGCCATGATCATTTGGAAACAATAATTATTCCGAGGAATTTGATATCATTTACTCTTTCTATTTCAATTTCATTGATTTTAATCTTAATATCATTATCTATCTCCTTATTACTAAATACCTAACATTTTGTTTTACCTAGATTCAGCGATAATTTATTTTCGTCAAACCAATTTTTTAGTTTATGTATTTCTCTCTCCACCTTTCATCCTCAGCTCTGTAAGATTTTGACCGGAACAATAAACTGTTGTATCATCTGCAAACAAATAAAAATTCAGAATATCCGAAACCTTATAAATGTCATTAATATATAACAAACATAATTTAGGGCCCAATACAGAGCCCTGAGGAACTCCACAGCTGTGTAAACAAGATGAAACTCCATTTAAATAAACACATTGGAACCTATCTGTTAAATGGTTTTTCAACCATGAATGTACTTTTGCCCCAGGCAGCTGCCTGCCTTGCCTGTTGGCACGGGACGCCTCTGTGTGGACCTGTGTGCTCTAAAACCAAACTGAAAATAATTCAATATATTATTAACTTCAACATAATTATCCAACCTTTTAGCAAAAAGTTTTTCTAATATTTTAGAAAATTGTAAAATGGGTCGATAATTACTGAACAAATCCGCCACCTTTATGCAAAGGGAGAACTTTCACTATTTTCATCTGATTTGGAAAAATGCCTGTTTTAAAGGATTGATTACAGATGTAAGTAAATGGGTGAACAATATTTTCCATAACATGTTTTACTGTAACCATATCAAACCCATTACTATCAATTGATTTTTTTTTACAATCTTTCAAAAAAATTGGTTTAGGTTTCCTAAATTCTGGCCTATATTTACAAAATACTCATTAAACTCATTCACAATTTCCTTAATATGTGTTATTTTATAATCGTCTTTATTAAAATAACACATTCTTCGTTTCTATGTCTTTTATGTATTAAATCATTCAGCACCTTCCATGTACCCTGTATGTTTTGCCTATGTTTTATGAGCAATTTTGTGTAATATTCTTTCTTACTACTTCGGATTATATTAATCAACGCATTCTTATATTTTTTATATATATATTTTTTTTCTGTGTCTTTTGTTCTGGATTTTAGAAATTTCCTGTATGAAATATTTTTCTTCTTACAGGATTTTATAATTCCATTAGTGAACCATGGTTTCTGGACATTACTTTTATAAGTTATTGTTTCGAGTGGGCAACATGTATTGTAAATATCTTGTAGTCGATCCAAAACATTTGTATAGGCTTCATTGGGATTTTCAAAGCTATAAATCTCATCCCAGTTACAATTATTCAATTCATCTTTGAGTGTTTCAATTGTTTCCGCTGTTTTGTGTCTCTTCTTGAATAGTTTGTTGGACTGGTTCAACAAACATTCATCGTTCATTTATCTTGTGCTGTGTGCTCCTCATTCCTACTGTTCTGTAACTTGTGATGATGTGGGACAAATAAAGGATCTCTTAATCTTTGTTATCTCTGAGGATATTACAAAACCATTGAATTCACCAACAACAGATCAGAGAATCCAACAGTTCAAACACAAGAAATGCATCATGTTATAGTATTGCAGAGAGACGATTGTTTAAACTGGACACATCATTTACTGTCACGATGCACAAAAAACACAAATTATTTGAATATATATATATATATATATATATTTTTTTTTTTAATCCCTAGGGTTTTAATTTTAGGCCTTTACCAAATGGTTGAGATGCAGTTTGATGTTAAAGGTGCCTAAAACCAAGTGAAGACGCAACAATGAGGGAGATTTAAGTTCCAAGTGGATGTAGAGACTCAAAAAGTGATTCACTAAATGGTTGAGGAAACCATTAAAGGGTTAACAGATTCACAGTTAGCTTCCATGACTCATTAAACAGTCTATTTTGACA